CCCCCACCCCCGTTTAGGTCAATTTTGACATACTCTCGGATTGGAGGACATGTAAAGACACTTACATTCTGCCAAGGATCCCATTACTTGGCTATAGCTTCAGATAATGGTGCCATTCAGCTTCTTGGTATTGAATCTTCAAAGCTCCCTAAATCTCCTAAAATTCATCCAATACAAAGCAGGTATGTACTTAGAGCAGTTAAATCTCTCTGCAGAGCTCAAGCTGTTACTATATTCCTTGATTAGATCCCTTTATTTGCTCGAGGCTTCCTGCTGGTTGAGGCCTAGGCTGTACTGGAAAGCTGTAATCCATGATCTTGTCCTGCTTCATACAGAAGTGTTGAAAGGAAACTGTGCAGGGCTGAGAATTCATAGTTGTAGGTTATTGGTGCCTCCTGTGTCACTGGACATATGAGCCTGAAACAATCAGTCCTCAAGTTCCTTTGTTTATCCACTGGGATTGGTAGTTTCTTACCTCCTTTGTTGCTATGTTAATACCTACAAAGTGATTTTGGAGGTTCTTTTACAGGTCATTAGATAAATGTGTACAAATATACAACATGTGGTTTGGCCTCAGGCCTGCAAATTTTTCTCCCAGGCTTTTAATGTGAGTAAGGTGGCAAAGATATGGGGGATGGGATACTATGTAGGGTGAGGAGTCTTTGGGGACGGTTTAGTTCTTTCTTACTTCTCTCCATGTGAGCAGTTACTGAGTATTTGGCAGTGATTCAATAGCTTAGTCTTCCAAGACTGATGAGGGACAGTCCAGGCCCCAGCAAATCTAGCAGCCATCTCAAAGACCTCTTTTTTTGTCTGATGTAAAATGTATCTGTCTTAAATGTCCTTTCCTATTTGGGATTAAGTTCAGAAATTAAATAAGCCAAATCCAATGCAGGTGGAAACTACAAACCATATTTTCCCTTTTGGTATACACTGTATTTCTGCCTGAAGAAAGTGTCCATTTGCACAGACAGTAAGTGATTGATGACAGTGCTGGCAGTGTAACATGAACAGGGGTGTTCCTGCCTGTAAGCTTTGGGTAGATGAATATCCAATGAACATGGAGCATGAATTATAGAATCCCAGACTGGTTTGGGTTTGAAGGGACCTTAAAGCTCAACCAGTCCCAACCCCCTGCCATGGGCAGGGACACCTTCCACTAGATGAGGTTGCTCCAAGACTAGCCCAGGTTGCTCAAAGCCTCATCTGACAGGGCCTTGAACCCAGCCAGGTATGGGGCAGCCACAGCTTTTCTGGACAACCTGCTCCAGTGTCTCACCACCCTCATAGTTACGTCTTTCTTCTTAACGTCTAATCTATATCTACCCTCTTTCAGTTTAAAACCATTCCCCTTTTCCTATCATTACATGCCCTTGTAAAAAGTCCCTCTCCAGATTTCTTGTAGGCCTTCTTTTAGGCACTGGAAGGCTGCTATAAGATCTCCCCAGAGTCTTCTCTTCTGTAAGCTAAACAACCCCAACTCTCTGAGCCTGTCTTCATAGGAGAGGTGCTCCAGCCCTTTGATCATCTTCATGGCCCTCCTCTGGACTTGCTCCAACAGGTCCCACATTCTTCCTATTTTGGGAGCATGAGAGCTGAACGCAGGACTCCAGGTGTGGTCTCACCAGAGCAGAGTAGAGGGGCAGGATCATGTCCCTCAACCTGCTTCACACTTGTTTTGATGTAGCCCAGCACACAGTTGGCTTTCTGGGCTGTGAGCGCACATTGTCAGGTCATGTTGAGCTTCTTGTCATCCAACACCCTGAAGTCCTTCTCCTCAGGGCAGCTTTCAATGCATTCTCTGCCGATCCTGTAGTTGTGCTTGGGATTGCCCTGACCCAGGTGCAGGACTGAGAGACTCAGAGGACAGAGCTCTGTTATGTTTGAAAAGAGCTGCTGACAGCCTTTTACTAGTTTGTAGAAGGCTCACAGGTTCTACTGGCAGAGAGACATAAAGAGTATAAGCATCTCTTGTACTAAAATCACAAATTTGTTTCTGGCAGATGCCTTGAAAAGTGACATGAAGGGGAAAATGCTGCTCAGCATTAGCTGTTGGAAGGAGTCTTAAACTTGGAGTCATACCTGTTTCTAAATCCATTTATTCTTTTAATCCAGGTCCTTAGATCTGAAGGATGATGGCTGTGTGGTAGATATGCATCACTTCAATTCAGGAGCCCAGTCAGTACTGGCTTATGGTACAGTTAATGGATCTCTGGTTGGATGGGATTTGCGATCTAGCAGCAATGCTTGGACACTAAAACATGATCTGAAGTTAGGCCTTATAACTTCATTTGCTGTGGATATACACCAGTGCTGGCTGTGTATTGGTAAGCCTGTATTTCTTGTTAGCCTCTCCCTCTGCTTCTGGTTTTCTTTTACAGTAACTGTAGCTCAAGCTTTTGCTTGATCTCATTTGCCTAGTGTGTGCTTTTCTGAAACAAGAGGAGGGAAAAACCTCCTGATGTATTTGTGGGAAGTGTTCTGACCTTTAATGCTTGAGGCTGAAGCCCATCTCCCTAGGAAGAGAGCACAAGGATATGGGCAAACCCCATATATTTATCCTTCTGATTATGGGGACCTTTCTTTCGCCAGGAACAAGCAATGGTACCATGGCATGTTGGGACATGAGGTTTCAGTTACCTATCTCCAGCCATTCTCATCCTTCTAAGGCCCGAATCAGACGTCTGCTCATGCATCCTGTCTATCAGTCCTGGGTAATTGCAGGTAAAGGATGTCTTAAACTTGCCTCACCATTGTCAGAGGTTGCTTCTGTTTCAGTTTCTGCTTCAAGCCTTAGGTGGAGTTTTCTTATTTCCTCGCAGTTTTTCATGTGCTGTGCTTGGGGAGAATATGCTTGTGGTCATACTTGGGTTCTGCCACTGCTCTTCTGGCTTTTTGAAATTGAAGAGAGACAGAGGAAGGAAAAAGAAGTAGTGTTAAGCCATTATGAAAATGGCTATCAGCCTTTACAGTTCTCATCTTCTGAGCACTAGAGGGTCCCTCCATGTGTGCTGTCTACCACATCACTTTTTAAGGACAAAACCTCATAAAAGTACCCAAGCATACATTGAAGTTGATGGGAATTCTGCCACTGCCTTCAGTGCCTCTGTAGAGCAGAGAAAGGCTGTCCCATTCCAATTCTGACTTGAATCTAACCCAGCTGTGTCTGAAAATCTCCCCAACATTCCTCATTTGGTATGCTCACAACTGCTTTATTCTCACTGCATGTAGCACTGTTATATACTTTTAAGCGTTTGTGTCGGGAGTACATTCTGAAATGGACAAGTAGCTTAAACTAATCCTGCAATAACAAAATTGATAAAGTTGCCATAAAATGAGACTAACTTGAGTTGCACATTTTTTCTTTGTCAAAGAAGGATAAGAAGTTATCTTGGGAGAAAAGGGAAGTTTTAATACCTTTTTAAAGGATTTGAGATTAAAGCAGGTTTCATATAAATTCCTTAAATTAGGCACTTTTAGCTGTAGTGAAGCTGCTTCCAAGTGGTAAATGGAAAAAAATGGAGCAAGTGGAGAGTGTCTCTGTGTTTTACCCCCTATGTCATGTCAGTAGAACAGGTAATGAGAGCCAACTGACCTGATCTATATTTTTTGCATTGGCAATATCTTTCCTGTAGCTGTTCAAGGCAATAATGAAGTCTCCATGTGGGATATGGAAACTGGTGATCGACGCTTCACTTTGTGGGCCAGCAGTGCACCTCCTCTTTCAGAACTGCAGGTCTGGTTTTCTTCTTTTCCAGTTTCAGTTGTGCGGCCAGGGCTAGAACAATCTCAGACTCCATGATGTGCATCAGCACAGTTACGTGTTTCCATGGCTGAGCCAGTTTGGCAACAGAACTTGCCCTGGGATTTATTTTGACACCATAATTGTTTTGTGTCAAAATCAAATTCCCTTTGTAAAACAGCAGCATAACCTGAACCTTCACGGGTATCTTCCGCTGCCCATGGAATGTACTTGTAACACTCACTTGTTATATCCAGTCATGTTCTTAGAAAACCAGTGAGCCTGTCAAGCCTGTGAAGATTGGGGCAAAGCAAAAACTCATGGTGTGGCATTGTACTTACTTTTACATGCTGTTTCTGGGATTGTGCATACTTCTGTAAGCATCTGCTCTTTGCACATTCTTTCTGTAATACAATGCCAGACACTGAACTGCTAATTTAAAGCTCTTCTTCAAGGACTTAACTGGGGAAGGAGCAATCTGGGATATTTACTGTTCTTAAAACACAAATACATACACAAAATAACTACAGCTGCTTCTATGTTGGTTTATAGATCTGGAATCTACCTAAACTTGAATTTGTACAGGCTACAAATACTGCAGGTTGAGTTTATTTTGGTCATGCTCTTTGCACAGGAAGCTCTATGATTCAGGCTAGTTTTCTGTTGTATATCCATCCATTAATGCCGTCATACCATAAAAATTGAACATCCATTGACTTTTCAGTATGATTTGCCTTCCTGTTCTTTTAGAAATAATCTCTTCCATTGCTTTGAGAATGTAATTTCCAAGATTCCAAACAAGCATTAAATCTGCTGCATTGCTCTGTGAAACGTAAGGAAGCAATTTACCTAATATATTAAGATGTGGCCCATTAAAGTAACTTGGCATTTGTCAGGAAGATTTGGAAATTGAATGGATGAATGTGGTAAAGAATGAAATCCCTTTTTGAAGCATGGCAACAACTATTAGTAATAAATTATTTTTATATATCCCTTTTCCCTACTAGCCTTCTCCTCACAGCATTCATGGAATATACTGTAGCCCAGCATCTGGTAATCCCATATTACTGACAGCAGGCTCGGACATGAAAATAAGGTAATAAAACTAACGACTGTTTTACTTGACACTCTTCCCCTCCACCCCTGCTGGTGTGCTAATTTTGCCAGGCATTGCTTAAGTAAGCTCCTAGAAGTCAAAACAATATTGCTGAAGTAAGCATCAGTAAGCAGAGAGAATTGTTCTCAGCAAAAGTAGTGCAAAACTTGGTGCTTCTCTGAAACACATGTACCCTTCCGTAAAGTTCTTGATAGGCTGCACTGATTATATAACTCATGTGTAAGCTTCATAGCAATGTTGATCTCTCTACACAGTCTTTTCTACTAAGTGTAGAAGGGATATAACATTTGTACCCACTCATTTTCATCATAACAGCAAAACAGCTTATAAACAGCTATATTAAGCTGATAAAATTGAACATCTCATCTTAATTTTTGCTTCTTTGTTTTTAGGTTTTGGGATCTAGCCTACCCTGAGAGATCTTATGTTGTTGCTGGAAGTTCTAATTGCCCATCTGTTTCCTACTACAGGAAGATAATTGAGGGCACAGAGGTGGTTCAGGTATTTCGCTTTGTTTGATAGACGTCTATTCTGCTTGCCTTTTGGATGACCCCATGGGTCATGTTAATTACATGATAGCTTTAATTATAATTATCTTGCTCTTATCTTTAGTGGATGGTGTTGGCCTTGTGTTTTCAGGCAGTTTGGAAGAGTTATTTTAAAAGAAAAAAAATCAGTTGTTTGTGACAGAATTAGACTTGGCAAATACTGCTAAACAGAATACATTTATTTTGGATATTGAAATCCAGTGTTTTAATACATTTGACTTTGATCAGTCTTCGGGATGTCTCTTGTGTAGGATTCAGCAAGACAGTGTGAGATGTACTGGCCCCAAAATAATATGGTAGCAGAACTCTGTGGGGTTTATTAACACCCCTCAGGGTGGCTTTCGGAACTCACAGTGTTGCTAGTTATTGAATAAGCCGTATGTTTTGTTCCAGTTCAACTGAATAAATGCTTCTTCAAAGGTGACTGGAAAAAAAGTCATGAGGGTTTGCCTATGCACTGTGATACTATGAATTTCATCTGAAGTTCTTGAACAATTACATTGATTCTACTGAACCAGTTTTATAAAACCCTTGGGGAGATATATGTTACTGTAGCTTCTTTTTCCCCTATAGGAGTATCACATCTTAGTAGTAAGTGTCATTGAAATAAATATGAAAAAAGAAACATTCTGTCCCTAGTTAGAGCTGTAATGTCAGTCCAGATTAAGAATTAGGTTGTGTGTGATGAAAAGAAATGAATCGAGGAGTAATAATAAGAAAACTATCAAAGGGTGGGAGGTTTTATGTTCGGGTATTGTGTTTAGTTTAAGAGGGTTTGGTCTTTCTACACTGAGAACCTAGTATGTGTGACAGTTCCCCTTTGCAAATGCTCACCCTTCTGTAAATAGTATTTCTCGCTTCATTTTTGTACAGGAAATTCAAAATAAGCAAAAACTGGGGCCCACTGATGAGACCCCTCGGAAAGGTCCAGAGTCTCTCCCAGTTGGACATCATGATATTATCACAGATATCGCAACGTTCCAGACCACGCAAGGGTTTATAGTAACTGCATCAAGGGATGGAATCGTTAAAGTGTGGAAATAAAGGTTGCACTAATACATAGTATGTAAATATTTGTAATAAAGAAATAGTGTTATAATGAAGTTTTCAAGGACTGTTTCCAGATCATGGAATAGAATGGACTTTACAAAGGTGATGATAAAATTGATTATCTGTATCCTACCACCCTGTTAGCACTACTTAATCACTTCTTTTAATAAAGATGTTTTGTATCTATACCATTTCCACGGAATACCAGTCTATGACGAAATCGTTTAGCCTGGGTTTGACTATGTTGTTCTTTAAGGATCTTTCAGATGATTTAAAGATGTCCTACATTACACATTCTAAATGTGCTAAAAGCAAAGAGCTGATAGCAGTACTTCAGTGTCTGGCTGCTCCTATGTTCAGTCTGAGAATTGAGTGCACTAATGTACCTTTACCTCCTGGTAACTATAATAAAGTCCACTTAGATTCCCTGTTTGGTACTTGGGTTTCTGTGTATCCTCTGCAGTGTCTCTGGTCTCAGCTGTGTAATAAATAAATGGGGAATTTTGCTTATTGATGAAGTGAGCTTGTTTCTCACAACTGCCAGCGCCATTGGGCTAAATGTAGGTTGAGATCAGCGCCAGACCCTTAACCGCCCCCTCGCTCCCAC